CCAGGCTTCCTGGAATCAGCTGCTGATCAGTTTCAGCAGCAGCTGACTTGGGGACGCCTGGGGTTCTTAAGTTGAATCTGTATGTAAGTCAGAACTGGTGTCCAGATTCAGCCGCTGAATCTGGACACCAGTTCTGACTTACATACAGATTCAACTTAAGAACAAACCTACAGTCCCTATCTTGTACGTAACCCGGGGACTGCCTGTACTTCTACACTCAGGTAACTTGTAGGAGTTCAGGAAAACATGCTGCTTATTTATTTACTGCATTTGCTTAGTTCTTCATATAGCTCTTCAATATCCAGATTCAGCCGCTGAATCTGGACACCAGTTCTGACTTACATACAGATTCAACTTAAGAACAAACCTACAGTCCCTATCTTGTACGTAACCCGGGGACTGCCTGTACTTCTACACTCAGGTAACTTGTAGGAGTTCAGGAAAACATGCTGCTTATTTATTTACTGCATTTGCTTAGTTCTTCATATAGCTCTTCAATAATTGTTTATAATTGCTACATTCAAATAAGTATGATTATAAAAAGGGATAAAGAAGTTGCATTCTTCCTCTAAAAATAATAGGGTTCCCCCCCAGCTAGCTGATATCCACACTTTATGTACAGCTTGGCTAGAATTTTTTTTAAATTGCACTTATGCAGTTATAATAAGCTTATCTGAAGACAGTGTTTGTCCAAGTGTATTCAAATAATTCTTCTGATTCTGAGCATCTGAATTTCCAGCAGTCTCATTTAAAAATCCTTTTGTTCTGTATGTATGCTAATATGGTGGTTCAAACATTTTGATTTTGCACTTTAGGCAACTGGCTATGAGTTATTGGAAGAAGATAGGCTTGCAGTGGGAAAAAGAGAATGAAGAGGACATTAAGGATAAGCTTGACTTTTATTCAACACCATCTCATTATCCTGAAGGAGGTAAGTATTATAGAAAAGTATTCAGGAAGCAAAAAAAAATAGTTTCAAAAGCTCATCTTCAATAGCTATAAGTGCATAAAAGATACTAAAAAGGGAAGAAGATGATGTGAAAAATAAATACTTGAAGGCAGTTGAGGCATCCATACTTGTCTATGGGATGGATCTTGTGAAGGGCTGTGTCCCCTCTGCTCCCATTACATTAAATGGGACCTGAAGGCACTCAGACTTAAGTTCTGCTTATGCATTTGATTAAGGGTAGTTCAGCTTTCAAAGAAATGGTTTCAGTTAAAGCATTTATTTTAATTGTGAAACTCCCATTGACTTCAATAGAAACAGAGTTAAGCCTACACTGAGTGCATTAGAAAATCCCATTTTAATTAACTTAAACACAAACTTCATGTACATATTACTTTTATCTATAAAGGTTGTACAGAATTGGTGCAGGAGCACAGATAGTTTTCACAAGTTTTCTACAGAACTTATTTTTCCTTTTTGCCCAGTAAGAAAAATCTAGGGTATTTTTTCCATGGAGAAACACATCTGCTCGAATTAAAATACAAACAGAACAAAACCATGTGATTTAATTTGTATTTGGCTTCCATTCACAGATTATACAGACTTTTAATAAAAAGTTGCAACAATTTATTTTCTTCTGTATTGATACAAACTCATTTTTGTCTATCAAGTGTTCTATTGTAATGTAATGTATAGTGTGTAATGTATGTCTTCCTACCATTCTGTTCCAATTTCTTAAAATATATTGGTCTACCCAGAGCTGTCACATCTAGTGAAAACTAAGTTTATAATTTAATGATTATGTCCATGAGAATGTGATTTGTGGCTCATAGACACCTGTTTGTAGAGATGATTGGTGAAGAAGGATGCAGGGGGGTCCCCTGACCACTTTCTTTCATGTGACTCCTCCCTGCATCGCCTAGGGGAGGGGCAGGAAAATGCCTCCTCCGCCCCATAGCCCACTCCTGCGTCACCTCTTCCTGTCCTGTTGCACCCATGCCTGGCCTCTTCTCCACCTCTGCTCTGCCCCTGTCGTGCTTCTTCCCCCAAGCTCTCCCCCAGCAATGCAGACCAGGGAACTAGTGGAGGTCTGGCATCCACAGTAGGGTCTGGTCCCCCTGCAAGTCACCGGCAGCAGCGGGGAGAGTGAAACAATGTGTCTCCACTCCCCAGCTGTGGGCTTTGTCACTCTGCTTCCTGCCAGTGATTGCAGAGGGTTGGTTACACTCCTCTCCCCAGATGATGAGTTGGCAGCTGGGGATCAGAGCCAGGTTGCTCCACTTCCCCCTACTGCCACCAGGGGGTAAGGGGGCCAGGCCTTCCCACCAATCCCCTGGACAACCCAGAGACTCTCTGCTTGCTCCTCCTGCCAATGGCATGGTGGAGGACACATGGCCCTCTGACCCTGCTCACATGTTACCAGTGCATACTTGTGCTAGATATTTGAGAGCTAGCATGAGCATAAAGAATAGTATTATGCTAACAACAGGGGTAGTGAAGGCATGACTGAGCTATGCTTAGTACATAGCCACTGGTTCCTGGTAGGATTACTCATATGGCTCATGCTTGTTTTCTGCTGCCACTACTCAGGCTACTGCAACTACCCTGCTATTTGTACTCATGCTAGCTCTCATCAAGCTAGTGTGAGAGTGTATACATGATCAGGGGAGTCGCATCTCTAGCTCGTAGTACAGACATAGCCATATCACTATCTTTATTTTCATAACAGCTATGGACTGTTATAGTCAGTTTTCAATATTGTGGATAATTTGGAACTTTTTCCAGCACAGATGGAATCTTTCTACCACTATCCTTGACTGTGATGCAGATTGGACCTTGCTGGTCTGGCACCTTGGGAATCTGACTGATCCCGGATGAGGGGATTTGCTGGATCAGGGACGGTCCCTACCCTTGTGGCCATGCTGCCACTGGGCTATGGCTCCAGCCTGCCCCTACTGCTGCCTCAGCCCCCTGAGGTTCTCTCCAGCCCTACTGCTGCCAATGCTGGAGCACTATGGCCAGAGCTGCACCACCTGGCTCCGCAGCTGGGGCCAGACCTCCACAGCTGGGGCAGAGAGATGGGGCCAGAGCTCTATGCCCAGGCCAGAGCTCCTTGGCTGCTGGGGCTGGTGCTGGAGTTCCCCGGCTGCTGTAGCTAGAACGGGGCTGGGGCTGGGGCCAGATCTCCCTGGCATGGACCAGAAGTCCCCGGCCAGGGCTAGGGAGCTCCACTGGGGCCAGAATTCCCTGCCATGTTGTCCATTTGCCCTCCAACTCCCACACCACACACACACTCTGGGCTCCCCTCTGAGTTGCCAGTGCCCTTTACGACGCTCCCCCTGCTGCCAGACCTACTGTTTCCTTGGCTCTGTGGTCCAGGAACACTCGTGGTTCATGCCAGACCAGGGAGTCCTAGTTAAGGAAGGTACAACCTGTCCTGAAATGGATGCCAAGTCTGTGTGTAAGAAAGTTAATCGCCTGTCCTGAAATGACCGTTGGATGCCAAGTCTGTGTGTAAGAAAGTTAATCTGGTTTATTGAATATACATTCTTGGTTTGAATTTTATTATTTGAGCAAGATATTAAGTCAACATAAAGTAGTTTTCAAATTTTGTCAATCTATGACAAGCGCCTCAGTCACTGCTGTTGTTTGCAGATATAGTGGGGTTTGCCATTAATTATACAGACTACTCTGTCAGAGCAACAAATAAAATCAGTAGAAGAGGAGGAAAGAAAATGCAACAAAGACCACCCCTGCTGTATTTGAGACTCTTGTGTGGAGGATAATGCAAGAATCAGATTACTGGAAATGTTCAGTTTAAGTGGTCACTAGATGTTATTACAGTTAACATCTATGAAAATGTAAAGTTGAAATTTGTTCACTAAATAAAAGGTACTTCCTTCTCTCTGTAGCAGTCTTCAGTGATGTACTGAATCAAGCCTTGGGAGTTCCTGTTCCTCCTCTGCATTTCCATGTCCTGGTCTCATACCTTTTCTACTGCTATTCATCTGTTCAGACTTGCATCTCTGTTCTCAGTAGATGCCTTAATCAGGTGTAGGGATCTCTTTACCCTTTCCTCTGCTCCCCGTTTCTTACCTTAATCAGCCTCCAAAATTTTGGTTCCTTCATCTCCAGTTCAGGGGAGGAAGAAGAGTCTGTTAATAATTGAGAACACTTCAGAAGTAGTACTGCTAGTTATTTTACCCTGACCCCTGCAGTCATTAACAGAACATGCGCATGCTCTCAAAAAGAAGAGGCAGTACCTGAAAATGAGAATATATAAGTAAAGTGTACAGTTAATCTTAAAACAAACAAAACTAAGATTGTGTTTTCACTAATCGGGAGACTTACATACTTGTGAAATTTAGTTGGGGAATATCTATAGTTCAGAAAAATGTAGAACTAATGGCAGAGGATAAGGCCAAAATTATTCTTGGTACATCGAGTGGTCAGAATACACAACAGCTTGGACTGATGACTAAAATTAATTCATACATTAATATAGACATTTCTGTTTTCTCCTAAAACAGTGTTATCCCAGACCTAGTTTCACTATCATTTTTATGTTTTTAAAATAAAAACAATACTCCATCCACTAGTTGGATTTCAATCAATTTAGAAGTAGTGCTGAGCCTCTGTCCCAGGTGCCTCACTGTACATCCTCAATATTGCAGTTCTGCTGCAATATTCAGATTTATTAAATGGCATCATTTCAGGTTTTCCTATAACCTCTGGCATCCTATTTTCCCACCTGAATTAATTCCTGTTCTATTGTTATCAGAAATAAAAGTAAATGACGAGGGCTAAAGCCATATAGGGCTAAATTGTGATGCCTTTACTCACGTTTGATAGTACATTATTCATTATCCTGAAAATAGTCCAGTTGGTCTTAATGGGACTTCACATAAAATAATTTGTACTCCTTGTGAAAGAGGCTATCACAGTCTGTCCCAAAATAATTGAAGAGAATGGGATAAGACTCATTACCATATGCAGTCACTGATTTAAGTGGTGGTTTGTAAAATATTTAAATCTGCTTTCTCCAAAAATGCCTAAACATATATGAGAGGAGAGTGAACAAAGAGTTGAATATTGAAAAGGATGAAATGATATTGCAGTTCCCTCCACTCAGCCATAAGCTGGGACTGGATGGCAGGGCATAGATGATTTGGTAATTGTCCTGTTCATTACTCCTTGAAGCAGCTGGTATTGGCCACTGTTAGAAGAAAAGATACTAGGTTAGGTGAATTATTGGTCTGACCCAGTATGGCCATTCTTATGTTTATGTTAAGCTTGTTTAAGGCGGTAAACATGAGGGCTGTGTCTAGACCGGCATGATTTTCCGCAAATGCTTTTAATGGAAAAGTTTTTCCATTAAAAGCATTTGTGGAAAAGAGAATCTAGATTGGCACGGACGCTTTTCTGCAAAAGCATCCGTGCCAATCTAGATGCGGTTTTGTGCAAGAAAGCCTCGATCGCCATTTACGCCATCGGGGCTTTTTTGCACAAAATGGTTCTCAGTTGTCTACACTGGCCCTCTTGCGCAAAAGCATTTGCACAAGAGGACTTTTTCCCGAACGGGAGAGTCATTGTATTTGTGGAAGAACACTGACAATCTTACATTAGATCGTCAGTGTTCTTGCGCAAATTCAAAGCGGACAGTGTAGACAGCTGGCAAGTTTGCGGAAAAATTTACCAGTCTAAACGCAGCCATGAGGAAAGGGAACAGAGATAAGAAGAGAAGGTGGGTGAGTGAGAGATCCTGAGCCCTGGTCTAAACTAGAGAAAACGCAGCCATGGGGAAAGGGAACAGAGATAAGAAGAGAAGGTGGGGGAGTGAGAGATCCTGAGCCCTGGTCTAAACTAGAGAATTATTTCAAAATAATGGGCTAGTTATTTCAAAAATTTGTATTCCTGACTTCCTTGGGGAATACCACTTATTTCAAAATAGTTATTTTGAAATATCGTTAGTGTGGATGCTCTGC